GCCCCTAACTTTATTAAAGGTAGGCTTGAATACCTTTTCTGCATATAGCCTACAACTAATGGCAGGGTTACACAATGACACGGTTCACAATTCTTCAAAGGTGTACAAGGAAGCATTAACACATCAGCCAATTATTCACAGATGGGAGAGGAGGATAAGGTTGAGAACATTAAGTTTGCAGACTGCTGCCTTCTGCAGCGTTAGTCAGGGAACAGTCTGTTTATCTCAGGAGAGAGACAGGCCATTGGCTCCTATGGCTGAACCATCAGCATTCTCCCACGGGCAATGCACTGTAGCAGGTGGTGGTCCTCTCCCATTTGCCTAGGGAACAAACAACTTTACCCTCCCACAAAGGCTCATTGTTCTCCTGCAGAATGGTTGGTGGGTTCCGACTGCTGTCCTTGTGATCAGCTCACAATCAACCCACTTCACCACCAGTTCAGGGCTCCTTTGTATTCCCTTGTAGGTTGTTGTTATTACCTTTGTATGCCCTTGTAGGTTGTTGTTATTACCTTTGTATGCCCTTGCAGGTTATTGTTATTACCTTTGTATGCCCTTGTAGGTTATTGTTATTACCTTTGTATGCCCTTGTAGGTTATTGTTATTACAGGATTGGGAAGTATTTACCTTTGCTGCCTTCAGCTCTTGTGATCCTCTCAGTGCCTTCATTTGCCTTTGTCATTTTGTACTGATCTCATTTTGTGTTTCCTTTCCTGAAGCCTGGGTGAGGTCGTAGTTATGAGTTGGGCTGCTAACCACAAGGTCAGCAGCTTGAACCCACCGGCCACTTTCCAGGAGAAAAAGGACTTTCTATTCCCGTAAAGATTTAAAGTCTCAGAAACCTACAGGGGCAGTTATATGCAGCCCCATTGGATTGCTATGAGTTAGAACTGACTTGATCGTAGTGAGTTTTAACAGCTAAGGATCATGAGTATTTCATTATGGGTTGGTTGGCCACCTGAATGTGTTAATCATCAATTTAATTTCTGTGTATTCCATCTACAAAAGTCCATGCGTATAGTTGCCTTTTGTGATGTTGAAAAGTGGTGTTTGCTTTGAGGAAGGACGTCAGTTTTTCAAGGTTTTCTCATGCTATCTCCAGCTTGCTTTCTATCCCCAAGACCACACATCCACTGTTCCTCTTTGTTTCCAACTTCTGAATTACAAATGTCAGTAATTATCAAGGCATCTTGGTCACAAATTTGATCAATTTCAGACTTAAGATGTCTGTAGAATTCTTTAATTTCTACATCACTGGCTTAAGTGGTTGGTGAATAAATTTTAATAACAGTTGTATTAATTGGATTTCCATGAATGTGGATAGATGTAATCCTATCACAGACAGCATTGAATTTCAAGATAGATCTTGTACTCTCCTTTTTGAAAATGAATGCATCATTTTTTCTCTTGATTGTGTCATTTCCAGCATAAGAAAGAGTATGATTTTCTGATTCAAAATGGCCCAAACCTAAGACATCCATCTCCATTATCTTTAGTAAAATTTTGCTGAATATCATCCAACAAAGGTTGCAACAGGATATTGACAGGGAGCTGCCAGAAATTCAGGCCAGCTTCAGAAGAGGACAGGCAACAAGGTGTAGCATTGCTGTTGTGAGATGGGTGTTGGCTGAAAGCAGAGAATGCCAGAAAGGCTTTCCTTGTGCATTATTAACTACGCAAAGGCATTCGACTGCACAGATAATCAAAAACCATGGATACCCTTGAGAAGAATTGGAATTCCAGAACACCTAACTGTGCTCATGCAGAACCTGTCCATGAATCAAGAGGCAGTTGTTGAAACAGAACAAGGGATACTGTGTGGTTGAAAATCAGGAAAGGTGTGCATCATGGTTGTATCCTCTCACTGTACTTATTCAATCTGTATGACAGCTAAGTAATCAGAGAAACTGAATTACATGAAGAACTAGGCAGCATCAGGATTGGAGGTAAGCTTATTAACAACCTGTGAAATACAGATAACATAACTTTGCTTCCTGAACGTGAACACGACTTGAGGCACTTACTGATGAAGATCAAGTATTACAACCTTCAATATGGATTACAACTCAATGTAAAGAAAACCAAAATTTTCACAGCATCATGGTAAATGGAGAAAAGATGGAAGTTGTCAAGGATTTTGTCTTGCTTAGATTCACACTCAGTACTCATGGCAGCAGCAGTCAAGAGATCAATGGATACACTACATCTGGGTAAATCTGCTGCAGAAGATCTCTTTAGAGAGTTGAAAAGCAAGGGTGTTACTTTGAGAACTAAGTTGTCCCTCGCCCATAGGATATTTTCAGTGGGCTCGTATGCATGTGAAAGTAGGACACTGATTAAGGAAGGCTGGAGAAGAACTGATGCATTTGAATTATGGTGCTGGCTATGCACACGGAAAGTACCATGGACATGATAGGCCTGTAAAGAGTACAACAATACCCGGGAATAATCAACTACATGAGATCAAAATGGGAGCATTTGCCCAAGCATTATGCTCAGCAGGCAGGAAGGGATAGGAAAGAAGGACAATGGGAAATGGTAAACACAGGGAAGAAGTAGAAAGAATGCTGATATTTTGTAGGCAATACTATCAATGCCACAGAACAAAATGTGTATGAATTGTTGAATGGAAAATCAATTTCTCTCAAATAGCATATTTAAAAAAAAGGAAGGTATATGTATATTAAAATCCTGTGGAGTATAGTTCAAAAACAAACAAACAATAGCAAAAGTAATAGCACCAAAAACCACAAGACTCAGGAACAGGGTGGTGGTAGTGCAGTACCAGTTCAAGCACCAGCTATGAAACACACAACTTTGGGGAGTATGACTGGGTAGAGTCACTGATTCCGGTCTGAGGGGGAAAGAAGAAAAAAGATGAGAATATATGTATGTGTATATACATATATACATATATATGTGTGTATATACACATATATATATGCCAAAGGAATGAAGAGGGAAAGATGAATATGAGGGAATTAAGAAAGAAAAGGAAAAAATAGGGAGAAAATAAAATGTTGCTCTTTCCAGCATAAGCGCCAATGGCCCAGAACATAGGTGTAGTGCTCATGGTTGGATCAAGTTCCTGGCTGATATTTGAAAAGGGAAAACAACCAAGAGAAAATGGCTCTGTGAGAAGAAGGAAAAACAGGAAGCTGATGCGGTGAAGTGTCTTCAAGTGGGTTGTGATGCACAGCGCCCTGTGTAAACAGAGCAAAACTGCCCAGGCCTGTGTCCCTCACAATTGATATTAAGTTTGAGCCCATTGTTTCCGTCACTGGGTCAATCCATTTCACTGAGGGGCTTCCTTTTTTTTGCGGCCCCTCTATATTACCAAGCATGGTGTCCTTTTTCAAGGACTGGCCTCTCCTAGACACATGTACAAAGTATGTGAGACAAATCCTTTCCATCCTTGTTTCAAAGGAGCATTATAGCTGTACTTCTTCAAAGACAAATATGTTTGTTCTTTTCACAGTCCGTGGTACTTTCAATATTCTTCATAAGCATAATAAATCACATGCATCAATTCTTCTTTGCGCTTCCTTATTCAATGTCCAACTTTCAGATGCATATGAGGTGACTGAAAATACCATGACCTGGGTGAGGTGCACTTTAGTCGTCTAAGTAACATCTTTGCTTTACAACACTCTAAAGAGGTCTTGTACAGCACATTTACACAATGCTACATGTCTTTTGACCTCTTGACTGCTTCTTCCATGAGCATTGATTGTGGATCCCAGAAAGATGTGATCATTGACAACTTCACGCTTTTCTCCTTTTATTATGGCATTACCTACTGGTCCAGGTTTGAGGATTTTGGTTTTCTTTACATTGAATTGTAATCCACTGAAGACTGAAATCCTTGATCTTCATCCTCAAGTGCTTCAAGTCCTCCCCACTTTCAGCAAGCAAGGTAGGTCATCTGCATATCTCAGGTTGTCCAGTAGTGTGAGTCAGTGTAAAAGAGGAAGACCCTCAATGAGATGGATTGATATAGTGGTGGGAACACGAGGCTCAATCATAGCAACCATTATGAAGATGGTAGAGATCCAGGCAGGTTTGTTGTGCTACATATAGGGTAGCTATGAATCAGAGCTAACTCCATGGCACCTGATGATTAGATCAATAATGACTAGCATCAGGAGATTTTCTAGGAGACCATAATTATCATTTTTTACTGACAACAGATCTGGTGCAAAGAGAGATGTGAAAGATGTAGAGCAGAGGTAGGGAATTGATTTTCTTGCAATGGCCACTTGAATCTTTATAACATTTGTGAGGCACACTGCTCAAGCATTTCATGAACTCACCCCTAAGGTGATGACTGGAACTGCTTCTCCTCAGCGAGGTGAGTGATGTTGCCTGGGACTGATGACTTTGTAGGCCTTGTACGTCCAGCGCACATGGCACTCCCTTCCCCTGGTGTCGAGGATGAATCCGGGAATATCACTACTGAGTTCAACAAACAGCAAGGCAGGTATTTTTATTGATGCGTGATGTCCATGCTGAAAATAAATGACCAAAACTATGGACAAGAGCCAGGTGCTTTATTTTAGTTTTGATTTCTTGCTCAGGGTACATCTTTAGAATTATTTTTAAATATATGGAAGAAAATCAACCTTCATAAAAATGTTATCAATATGAAGCATAACAATCTTTAACTGTTTTACAGCATCATCAATCCATCTGCTTTTCCAACCTACAAAGTAGGATGGACATACTGTAAACAGCTCTGGGGTCTTCTCAGGACAGTAAGTCATTCATACTCCAATTGAGATTTAATTATGAAGCTAATTAAGGATGATTCCCAAGCTGATTCTCTTAAAAATTCAAGAACAGGAATAACCAGAAGTAGTTTTCAATTGTCAGAACAAATACATACTCAGTCTTCTGATATATGGTACCTATAGGAGGTAGAAACCATTAAAGAAAAATTGAAGACTAATAAAATACTGTATGATACTCATCCTTTTCAGAACTGATCATGTTGTTTGTTTGTTTTATTTTGTCAGCAGGAGTAAACATTCATGGAAGAAGAGAACCACACCTCTGTGACTGAGTTTGTCTTCCTGGGTCTGTCCCAGGATCCACTGACACAAGTCCTGCTCTTCTTCCTCTTTCTGATCATCTACCTGCTGACTGTGCTGGGAAACCTGCTCATCATTGTGCTTATTCACATAGACTCCAGACTCCACACACCCATGTACTTTTTCCTTAGGAACCTGTCCTTTGCTGGCCTCTGCTTTTCAACTACCACAGTTCCCCAGGTGCTAGTCCACTTCCTGGTAAAGAGGAAAACCATTTCCTTTGTCGGATGCTCGATGCAGTTAGTTGTTTTGCTTCTGGTGGGGTGCACAGAGTGTGCACTGCTGGCAGTGATGTCCTACGACCGCTATGTGGCTGTCTGCAAGCCCTTGCACTACTCCACCATCATGACTCATTGGGTCTGTGTCCAGCTGGCCATCGGGTCCTGGGCCAGTGGGGCAGTGGTGTCCCTGGTGGACACCACATTCACATTGCGTCTACCCTACAAGGGAAACAACATCATTAACCATTTCTTTTGTGAACCTTCTGCCCTCCTGAAGCTGGCTTCATCAGACACCTACAGCACAGAAATGGCCATCTTTGCCATGGGTGTGGTGATCCTCCTAGCTCCTGTGTCCCTCATCCTTGTCTCCTACTGGAATATCATCTCCACTGTGATCTGGATGCAGTCTGGAGAGGGAAGGCTCAAGGCTTTCTCAACCTGTGGCTCCCATCTCATTGTTGTTGTGCTCTTCTACGGCTCAGCAATCTTTGCTTACATGAGACCGAACGCCAAGAAAATGAGTGACGGGGATAAAGTGATCTCTGTGTTCTACTCTGCAGTGACTCCCATGCTGAACCCCATCATTTATAGTCTGAGGAACAAAGATGTCAAGGGAGCTCTCAAGAGAATAACAGCAAGATAGCCTTTGTGAGAAGTTGTAATTTCCCAGGAAACACTTTTGTCCCATTCCTTCATATTTTTACTCATGTTTTCCCATCTGTTTTTCTCACATATATTTACTAAATTGCCTATTTAAAGCAAGATACATTCTTAGACAGAAGACAAAAAGGAAAAATATATGAACATAACAGTAAGTCTCTACTTCCTAAACCGGCACATGCTAATACATTAATTAAACATGTCGGCATACTGGAAAAACAAACAAAACTAGAAACAAAACAAAGCAGAACAGAAAACAAATCATCACAAATATCGATTCACTGTCTCTTGAACACTTCCCACTTATATGTATCATAGGCACTTCTTTTCAGAGCTGAGGACATGCATATACACACAGAAATACCTTCTAAGGTATTATGTATCTAACAGGACTTTAAATTCTAAATGAAACCTTTTCTGAAATTTGAATGTGAGCACGTTTAAGGAATAATAAACTACAAGGTGGTAGAACATTAGGAAAGCTGTAATGAGAGGATTGAGAATGCCTTGAATTCAATATTTCCCCAGTATATGAATTCTGAAAATGCTGATGATAAAGGAATTTATGAACCACTGATGGCAAGTAAGAGTGAAGGTAAATGGAGCCCTGTTGTATATGTTGGCAAGGCATTTAGCCTTTCCGTGTTGACACTCTTCTCTATAACAGGACCTGAAAGCTTCCGAGCATGCTTGTTAAGACTCTTCCTCTGGGTGCTATGGGACCATCAGTTTTTGGAGTCCTCATTGGTAACAACGAAGCCAGTAGACTCTTAGGCACACTAAAAAATGTGCACTGCTTTTGCGCAGTGGGATAGTGGGGGCAGTGAGCACGTTTGGTAATTATTGGCTTAGATTGTAAATTCCATGTAAATTCTATGACAAACCATAGCTGCTTTGTTGATCTCTGTATTATCACTTGTAGTAAAGTACATATCTATTTCTCAGTAAATGCCACCTCACATGACTGACTACAGGCGTTTAGGAGAGAGATGTACAGTATAAATAGATTGAGAAGTTATTTACAAATAAACGCCAGTATAAATTTGAAACCCTCAAGGATATGTGCCATTGTTTTAAACTAGAAAATCAAATGTGCTGGTATGTCTTAGAATCTTAAAAGATATGTCATAAGATGTGGGTACTTGACCTACTGCAGTGCAAACAGATGTCAAAGTCAGAGGCAACACAGACGGGTTGCAACAATATCCCACAGATGTTCTGAAGTGCACTACTGAGGGAAACTTGATGTAGCAGAAAGGTCTCAGGAAAGACTGCAGAACAAGAACCGAGGAGTCACGGGTATTGGTACCAAGAATTTCTCAGGCGAATGAAGAGAAATTATGGAAGGACAAGATTCTGTGATACAGAACTCAAATAAAGCTGTGTGGCAAGAGGAAGAAAGCCTTTGCAAGAAGGAATTCTTTAATGATGCAGGGTTTTATGTGTCGATGATAGGGTATGGGATTTGTCAATGAGATTATCATTATTGGTCTTTGAAAACACTGTTGCAGCAGAATAATGGAATCAAGTGATTATCAAAATTCAATCCGACAGTTCAACCTAAAAGTAGATTGGGTATGAAAAATAAGAGGAATGTGAATCTGAAATAGATAGTCTGACATAGGAGTCTATTTTTTTTCTTTTCTTCTTAACCATTAGATCTTTAAAAGTCTGGAATTTAATTTAGAAAAATTTATATTTCAGACCAAGTATGAAAAGTTTCTGGCATCTTGATATTTGGCTTGATAGCATGATTAATCATTCTTTTACCAATTAATTTTAAAGGCAGCCTGATCTATGGTAAACTTTAATATTCATCTAGAATATTTATGAATTTGGACAGTAGTTCCACTGTTTTTTGTTGTTGTTGTTTCACTGTATTTTAGTTGTTGTAGCTTTAGCCAGTACGGCATTCACCGACACTGATATTGAGTCAATGCTGACTCACAGTGACCCTATAGGGCAGGGTAGAACTGCCTCTTTTCGGTGTCCGAGACTGTAATTCTTTAGAGGAGTAGAAAGCCTCATCTTTCTCCAGGTAAAGCAAAAGCTCTTGCCTTTCACCATTTTCTTGCTTATTCATATCCTTTCTACTCTACTTATTAAACTTATTTTTTAAATAACCATTAGAATTGTAATGGTGTTTACATTGATTTTGTAGATCACTTAACAAAAAGAATTTCTAAAATCTTGAAGCAATGATATTTAATCTGTCACCTGTCTGTAGAGCACATTCCTCTCTTTCATAATAAAGACATGTGCATCACACACTCATACACATTCTATCATGCATTGTTATTGTGAGATTGTGCTGTATACATTTTGAGGATGTTGTCTTATCCTTCTTTTACTACTTATATTTTAAAATAGGTGTTTTTATTTTCGAAATATTATGTTCTTAAATGTATCATTTCTTATAAACAGTCAAGCTATTACTTTTCTATATATTCATTTATGCACTCAAAATAACTATTAAGCATTAAAAAGATAAATTTCCATCAGGCTGGAAAAATCTAGCACAAGCACCTCATTGATATCCATCTTACTGAACTCTTTCATTGATATTAATGATTTGGGGAGCAATGTGTAATTCTACATAAAAATTATATTCTTTTAATAAAATGGGTACATTTCATTTTCTCTTCAAATGGTTATACCAATTTAAATATAATGCTTTATTTGATCTTTGAAATCACTTTAGATCTAGAGGATCATAGTGAATAATTTTCTCTTTTCTAATTTTGAATAAAATATGTCATCTTTCCTTATTTAAAAATCTGCTTCCATCTTACACTAGGTAAGGTAAGAATATTTTCTTCTATTCTTCTATATATATATATAACAAGGTGGAAGTATTAAACAATGCACTTTCCATATCTTTTTTCTTCTTTAATCTCTTAAAATTTATTGTGATTTTTCTGCAGGTTCAAATAAATGACAGCCACTATAATATCTTGATAATTTAGAAGAGTCTTTATTAGGTTATAACTGGACTGCTAGAATCTAAAAGCAATTCTTTTATTGCAGTACTGAGTGCACATTTCAGTCCATCTTTAAAGGCAAAAACGGATTTATCATTTGTCTAGGACTTAAGCAAGCATGGACAGAAGCAAACCACAAAATGAATGTTACTGTTCTTTAGTGTTACAGAATACAGCATTGGTTATAGCAGCCTGGTTCCTAGTGAAAACATCGAAAGGAACAATATTATTCATTACAATGTTCTGATCTTGAGAACCTGAGAGCACATTCTAAAATCAATCGCTAGAGGACTTTCCAAGGAGGGAGGGGGAAGGGGGCAGTTCATTCAGCAGCTAACAAAAATGGAGTTTCTTTTGCTAGTCTGCCTCAATTTAGTTTCTCCGTTTTATTAAGATTTACCCTTAATAAGTTTTCAGCTGTATTACAGCATCCAAAAGTCCTTAAAATTCAGATATATGGATGGGCCTTTATGGTTTTTACCGCTATTATGAGTTTAGGTTATTTCTCTCAAACACGTGATATTTGGAAAATGAAAATGTTTAAACAGTCATGTTCAGTCATCCTGAACAGGCAGTAGCTACGAAAGTAGTGAAGAATATGAGGCAATATACCGGTACTCTACTTCCCATGAAGAGACTGTTTTCCACTATTTTCTTTCATTAACAACTATGGAAAAGTCACAAATGAATTCACAGGTTCACTTCAGATATTTGAGCAGTCTAAATATTATGAAAGCCAACATATTTCTATAGCCAACCAATGTGGGCACAACATCAATAACATTTTGCCAAAATATTTCCTCCTCTAGCTGTAAAAAAGTAGTGGCTATAAAGGGTCATTTCCACTTCTCCAATTCTTTCTGACATTTTGCAGGGAATAATGTACCTGTTCTCAGGAAACCAACACCCAAGTGATGCCTCTCATTTTCCTTTTCTCTCCTCTGGTTGTACATGTGCTATCTGGAATGACTGGTTTTTCTGGAACCTACAAGTAATGATTGCTAGTATTATTAATAATAATTATGATTGGCATCTTATAAGATGGTTTTGCTAACACCTTGGAGACCAATAACAATGTTTTCAAAATGCACAGAAAAGACTGGGGAGAAATTTTCCAAAATTTGAAAAGTAGTTGGCCTTTGGTACTAAGGTTATGGTGTTTGTTTTGTTTTGTTTTGCTTAATCCTTTTTTAATATTTTTTAAACTTAAGGGTTTTTTTTCTTTAAAAGCTTTTATAATATCAATAGAAATATATCTTTTAAATGGGTAAATCTTAACGTTATTTAATTAAGGATTTTCTAAACTTAGTCACTTCAATGCTCTTACTTTTAGTAACTGGAATTATACTAAGCCTCTTACTAGATGCAAATATAAACTGGATAATGTATCTGGAACAAGAATTTCCAGACATTTGTTAGTAAAAGCTGGGAAGCTATGACCACAAAAAAGAAAAGGAAGGAGAAGGAGGAGGAGGAGGAGGAGGAGGAGGAGGAGGAGGAGGAGGAGGAGGAGGAGGAGGAGACAGAGGAAGAGGAGGAGGCAGAGGAAGAGGAGGAGGAAGAGGAGGAGGAAGAGAAGGAGGACCAACCAGATGAGTCAGCTCCATAATCACACTCGCTGGAGCTGGAGCAGAACACAGTGGCCTTGCTGAGCCGGGGAAGCATATAAATTATTGACACACCCAAAGAATATTAAAACTGTGGAAGAGAACAATCGAAATAGGTACTGCACAGAAAAGTAATTTCAGAAATTCACTATATTGAGCGACTACTGAAGTGGGTACACCCACAGTAAACCTGCCAAACTCAACAAAGAACTGAGAACATATGGAAGGTTGAGCAACTTTGGCATTCCACTCAGCCAGAGCCGAGTCTCTGTCACTTATCTGATACCCCAGAGAGAACCATCTTAAGAGTAAGACTGTGATGAATTAAAGATACATGTCTTTAACCAATAAAATATAAAACAGAAAATGGAATAATTTTCAAGATATTGACTACT